TCCCGCTAATTGAGTGTTGACGGGCGCGCACTAGATACGTCTCACTCGTTCCTGAAGCTTGTCGGAGTTTCCCAGCGTTCCCATCCCTGGCATCACTCGCAGCTTTTGGGGCACGATGAACATCATGCTGAACCGTTCGACCTTTCACGAAGAACTCTGCTAGGCGGCCGTCAAGGCTTCCGTTTGACATCATAAGGAATCCAGTCGGTATTGCTCTGGTCATGCGGTCATCCTTGAACCTGATTTCTGGAGCCTTAGCGCATATGGCTGCTTCCCTAATCCCCAATCCTCAATACAGTGCGGAGCTTCTGATTGATCCTATTCTTAGTCGAGTGGTGGGAAACACCAGGCATCGCTCCTTCGATGGTGCGTTGAATGACTTTAACGACATATATGTACTCCTGTTTGCGTAGGGTCCGAGTTTTGAGGCGCAATTTGAAGCAGGAAGGACCGCGGAGTCGAAGAGATGGGCACGGAGCTTGGTGTTCTTCGTCTTCTTCGCTACTCCCTCGATCTTGAAGGCTCCCCAAGCCGCTCGCTTCCTTCCTGCTCAGCTCTGGGATAAAATAGTCCCTCCCTCATGAACATCTTCATTAGATTCAGCTGTAGACTGATTTTGCCACACGCGCAGTCGAAATCATGCAGCATTCGCTCGCGTGCTCGATTTTTTTGTTATCAGAACAATGTCTTTGGCGAAGATGGAAAGTTGCCGACCGTCGATCTTCACTCCCATGTCTTCCCATTCCAGTTGACGCATGACGTTCTCGAGAGAGGCGCTGAAGAGCTTGGGCGAGATGGTGTCGCCCTGTCGAACTCTTCACGTCGATGATGATCTCCTTGTAGAATGGTGAGATCTGGTCGTGAAGTTGCTGTAGCTCACGAAGAATCCTGATGTACTGAGTAGGAATACCCTGGTTGCCCAGGGCTTCGATAACCGCTTCTGTCTCAACGGAGTCGAAGGCTTTCTTCAAGTCGATGAACGTGAGACATAACGGCATCTTGTACTCTCGTGATATTAGGTTGTCCCAAAAGTTTGTGGACATTTTTTGAATCTCGTATCAGATCTTTCCGCAGCCATTTCGAGATCCAGTTATGTGGTCTATGGGAAGTGTGTTAGGTAAGCATCCCACAGCTTCTTTCAGTCGCTGTTCTCATATCCAAAAACGGTAATTGAAATTCATCATTTTCGACACACTTCGCTATATGAATCTCTACCAAGCCACAACGTGGTTGGAGCCATAAGCGGCATTTCCCTTATTAGATCTTGATGTTACCTTCCACAGTACGGCTTTGGAATGGCCCAATTGCTTCCGCTTTAGTGACTTCTATCTGGGTGAAAAACTTCGTCCAAGGAGGCCACCTGCCTTGGATTTGGACCTACTGTGTTCCTTGATTAAAACCAATTCGTACAAATCAACTTGCTATCTAGTCCTTACACTTGACTGGTCCCAAAGCACAAATGAGAGAGGGCCTCGCTTCCTTAGAAAAGTTCTGAAGTTCGGTCAAAATTTTTCTCATGAGTTGACCAGTACTCCAAGGGGAGCACATGTGGGTACTGTCTACAACTTCTCTCCCGCTTCCGCTGTACGGACTGGTTGAACAGCACTGTAACTGGATATGGAGTGGGTGCCTCTAGGTGAATCACTCCCGGGAGCGCCAGCGGCTAGATCCCCAGAAAGGGCAGAACCGATCGCGCAATCCTATCAATCCAGTAGGGCGGTGAGACTGCATTCTGCGGCAACAATCGAGGAGCGAACCTACCTTTTAGCGTTCGATTCGGGCACGCAGCCCATTTCTTTGGATATTGCAGTACTTTAGCAATCCTTTTCCCAGCACGAAATGTCCACTTTTTATTGAATCACCATACTCATCCACACATCCTGGAATTTTCGTTGTTCGCTAAGTTTCTTACTTGAGCAGCGGCTTACCTTTACGAAGTAACTTTAGCACGCTAAAGTTCTAAAGTAGATTTAGTATGAAAGTATACCTTTGAAATCGTTTTTTGAAATGCAGCAGATGAGAAAGTTTCCCACAGTGATGTCATCGGAACTTTCAGCATTCTCTGGACACGAATTAACCGAAACCTCCTCACCAGAGCCTTAAGTATCAAAATATCCGTATTTGTTTTATCCATGATGTGACTAGAATCAGTTTTAGATCAATGACAGGGAACTGAAACAACATTTGAATGGACTTCTGATTACTGGGGAAAGAAATAAAACTATCCTGTTTGTGCGGGGTCAAAGTGGCTTACGTTGCGATCAACCCGTTCTCTTCAATACTGGAGGTGAAAAGGCCGACACCAATTGCAGGAAAACGTGCCTTAATGGTCTCGCCTAACTAGCCCCTTGACACTCAAACAGCATTCTGCCAGAAAATCAGGACTGTACAAGGGGGGGTGCAAAAAAGTCACTTTTCTTCCTTGACTTTCGAGGCGCTTATAACTTACACTTTATTGAATTCTGATCGGACATTGCTACTACCACCATACTAAAGAGCATATTAAGTACTACCATGATACTCCTCCACAGCCTTCTGGAGCGCCATCGAGAGATTCTGCCACGCGACCGTGAGTGGGTACCTGAGTTCAGCGAGATCGTTGATTTCTCCGCCACTGTAGACCACCCTATTGAACTCCGCCCAAACCAGGTAATTGAGGGGTTTAGTTCAGGTGACCTGCTTAGATATTCCATCTTCTTCAGGTACTCAACGCTCTTCCCATTCTGAGTAGGCCAGAGTTTTTTCCAACGCCCTCTCCGTTCCATTTTGTGGCTGTCACCCAATCCGATAGCAGATGCCAAAGATTCCAAAAGGTCACGGGCAACGACATGTGGGGAGAATATTCTTCTCGAGTTGCTCGATGTAACCGCCAGCGCTCACCTTCAGTCCGGGGTCCACGAAGAAAATATCGGTCTTTCCATTCCAGGTACGTCCGGTCCATACCATCAACCCGCGCCTTGGCGACTGCGGTGAAGATTGATGTCCGTTACACCGTTAGAGAAGGCGCGGCTGCTCGACGTGTGAGGCCTCCAGATCGAGAGGTACTGCGCTCCAGGCGGTGGCCTCATGGCGTGACTCCGTTGGTAGAAGTTCTCGTTCAGGCTGTTTGGAGTGACATGAATTTTTCAAAGGTCTTCTCCAGTCAGGCTGCGACTGGAGATGACTTCATATTTTGGTGTACATGAAGGTGATGGGCAAGAGCCAGCTCCTGCTTATCGAGGAACATCTTGGGTATCTTTCCGCCCTGGTACTCGTATATCTTACGTCCTTTGTCTGGTGCTGCCAAAAACTTTTGCTGATATGGGACTCGTCTCGAAGTGTCTTTTTATTACCCCCCACCCTGAATGCTACACCTTTGTAGTTAAAGTGCAGGAGCTGAGCCTTTCCTGTTAGTAAGAGCGCCTGGAGTGATAAATTTCCACAAGGATTGTTAGAATGCACAAGCGAGTGAGGGTATATCCATGGCAAAGGATTTCCTGCCATTTTCACCACATTGCGAACGACTAATGTAAATGGTCGTGGAGTCCTGGATGTACTATACATATAGTAGATAGCGCACAGTGAGCGTCACATTTATTACGACAACTAAAAGAACACTCCCATCCTGCTATGCCGCAGCGGATATGAGCATGTCTCACCTACAGGAATTTTCTGTCACTTTTCGGCAGGGTACTTCGAATAGGCTGGAGGAAGTGGACACACTTCCTTGATCATCTTATTAGTGGCCTTTCTAAATGTAGAGCTACACGGCTCAAGCTTCGGCTTGAAGTGTGGGCGAGGCGTTTTGCTAGTTTCTAGCTCCTCTTGCTAGTTCCTCTGAATTGTACGTTTTACGATGAGTCCTGAAGACTGTAAAATTGAAAATGAAGCTCATGCCGTGTGTATAAGCTTTGCAGGAATTTACAACGTCTCCTCAAGATTGCCGCCGGCAAATACTTCCCAACGGGCCGAACTGCTCGTTGTTATAAGACACCAGTTCAGATACGAACGAATACCATTCAGCTCAACCAGCCCTTCAATAAGAATATCTTACATCACGCCTCTAATTTTTGATGCAGCGAATTTTCGCTATTTACCTTCCATCACTGGTTCGTCGTCCATGCAGGAATATTCAACGCCATTTTCCATATGCGACGAAGTACCCAATTCGAGCACCGTGCCAGCGTCGGTGAGGCAATTCAACACCTGAATAGTAGCTATAAAACTGCAACGCCATGAAGGAGAAAACAGAAAAAAAAACTTAAAGTTAATTTTATTTTATTCTTTCTTAAAAAAGATCGATCAACTTAAAACGAGTTGTACCGTGGAGCGGCAATCAGAACGCGTTTCCCTTTTGCCATTTGATTTTTTGAACACAGTTAAGCCTCATGCTAAATAGTTGCAGCATAAGCCAGAACACACTAGAACTTCGTTCTCAGCGTCTGAGCGCCCGCAAACACGCATGAGGTCATTGGTGTACAGAATTTTAATTTAGGTGTATTTTTGCTCTTTTTTTTCTTCAAGGACAAGCAAACGTGCACTCCACAGCTCATAGCTGGATGCCATATCCGCCACTTCACCATCATACAACGTGCCTTTGCTTGTATGGACACGTGCCGAGGAGATCGAGGGTTACCTGATTGCGGAATTGGAATTGCTGGGTTTCCAAGTAGAGAGAGAACGTTCAAAAGGGTCCCCAAAGAAGAGGTGCCAAGAAGTGCTGAAGTGGGGCTTCAGAGAAGTCAAGGCAACGTCTTGAGAGGTTTCCAATAGCGGTAGCACAAGTGCAGAGGAAACTAATGCTAGGGTTAGGAAAAGAAACACCCTGCTCGTGTAAGCCGGAAACTGATCTGTGGCTTCCTATGATTGATTGGATTCTTTAGACGCTTTTATTATTTCGACCAGCCGCTTTGCCGGCTGATGCGCTGACGCCCTCATTCTGAGGTAGAAGAATGGTATTTGCCCTGAGCGGCCCGCGCCTCCGTTGCCACTTATCCATTCCCCTCACCGGCTTTTCTTTTAATTACGATAGTCTAATAATCTTTTGACCATCTGTTCATGACGCAAGCGCTTGCCACTACTTTTTATAGTGGAGATTGTAAACAATCACACATTGCCTCAAAGTGATACTAAAACATGGATTTTATTCGCGACTCTGCTTGCGGTTGATCCTTCCTCTATTCACCTTATCGCTTTGATTGGCGCTTTTATTATCACACTCGTGATGAGTTTCTACTAAACGCACTCTATGCTTCCCTCCCGTACTCTCCCTCACTAATCCCACCCACCCACATTATACCCTCCCCACTCCCACTTGCCCCACCCACTCCCCATCCCGGCCGCTGCACGTGCTCACGTCCACCTGCCACGCGAGCAGCTCGTGCAATGGTTTGGAGTGCACCACTACATGGTTCTCTTATATAGTGCAGGGTGTTATCACAATCAAAACATTGGATTGATACATCTGCACCAACTGGTTTCGCCACCGGCTAGCGGTCGTACACTCTCCTACACTGACGTGTTTGAACCCGTGAAGCATTTTGCGGACGGACAGACATACATACATACATACCGACAAACCGACACACAGAATTAGTGGTTTATAGAATGTAGGGATTTCATTCAGATACGCGATATTTGAACTCCATCACAGCACACTGTAGTTAAGGTGACTTTTCTGCATTAAGGCACAAGCTGTTCATGTAAACGTTGTAAATATGCAGTCAGATAGGGCGTGGCACAGGAATAAGAGTAAGTCCGCTGTCGCCCCTCCAACACTGATCGGTTCGAGATCGATCCAGGAAGAAAACAGTGCTGAAAAGGCTGCTCCTAAGCTCAATCCAATCATTCTTCGAACCGCCCCGGCTGATTGCGATGTTATGAACTGTATGCCCTTTTTTTTACACCGCCCCAACATTACGTGGGCAGAAGGGTCAGCTCACTGTTCTGTCAAATTGTTCTAAACTGCACATGCTACTTTTTCGGAGAATACCCCGTGCTAGAGGAAACCGCTGCTTTTTTTGTAGAAAAACTTCCGAGCTAGGGAATCTTCTCGCGC